TACATCAACATGGATTTAACTCGTGAAAATTTTCGTAATATGATTTTCTACGACTTTGAGTGTAACTTAACAGCTCAGTGGAGCTTCACTTGGCTTCAAACTTTTGGCGATGAAGCATCATGCAACACGACTATTTATAGCTGGTTTGCAGAATTCAAACGCGGTCGTGTAAATCTCAGTGACGAATTTCGTGATGGTCGCCCGTCTATTGCTGCAAACAACAAAAACATCGATGCTGTGCGCCATATGATCAAAACAGACAGGCATGTGACATACCATGAGGTTCGGGCATCTTTAGGCATAAGCATGAGTCAAATACAAGCAATACCACATAAACATTTTGGGTGTGAAAAAGCTATGCTCTCGGTAGGATCCCACATAATTTGACTGAGGCTCAGAAAACGGATCGCGTCACTTGATGCAATGCCATGCTTGCCAGATTCAACGAGAGGGCGTCAAATTTGGTGTGGGACATAGCAACAGGTGACGAAACATGGATTTATAGTCACTACCCCAAAACAAAGCAGCAATCGAGTGTATGGGTCTTTCGAGATGAGCCGAACCCAACTAAAGTGGCGCGCGTGCAAAGTGGCTCTAAGCGGATGATTGCTTCTTTTTTTAATAAAACTTGACACGTGGCTACTGTTGCTTTGGAGAATCGTTGTACCGTGAATAGTGATTGATATACGACCATTTGTTTGCCGGAAGTTATTGACAAACTCTGTAAAAATAACCGTAAACGCCGTATCATCTTGCACCACGACAATGCTAGTTCTCACACGGCCAGACAAACAAATGAATTTTTGAAGGTGACCAACGTTAACCTCATGAACCATCCCGCGTACAATCCCGACCTGGCGCCTTTTGACTTTTATTTATTTTATAAAATTAAATTAAATGTTTGTGTGGTATTGATTGTATTAGACTCATGCCTATGCCTAAAGATGCCCGAATCTCGTGGTATGTCACATGCCTGTCTGTTTTGATTATATTGCGCACAGCATCGATGTTTTTGTTGTTCACTACAGTGGACGGGCGACCATCACGAAATTCGTGCAAATGACCAGTTACGCGGTCAACGATTTTCATCACCTGAAGAGGCTGTCGAAGGATATGAAAAATATGTTTCAGAGATTGTCACGGAGGAGTGGCAAAAATGTTTTCAAAATTGGTTCATTCGTATGAAAAAGTGCATTAACGCTAACGGAGAATATTTTGAGAAACAATAAATTCATTTCTGACCATTTATAGTATTTTTAACCGACTTCAAACAAGGAGGAGGTTCTCAATTCGACTGTATGTTCTTTTTAAAATCATCCACCTCAAAGGGTGGCTGTTCACGCATGAAGATTCATTTTTATAAATAGCGTCTAACTTTAATTTAGGAGCAATTACTTTTAGCAATTATTTAGTTGATTTTGCTATTTCTCCAATTCAAGGCGTTTTTCTCTCGATATACTTTGAGTAGTGTCGTAGTGAGAACCTATTTTTATTATCTCCAGTATCAAGTCCTGTATAGTGGCGAACTAGGGGATATTTCAATGAAACTTAGCAAATAGACGTAATTCCACATACTTTTGAGGTCGGTTTTTTTAGTACTCTGTACTGAGATTATTTTCTTATTCATTCCGGAAATTTATAGTGCGTCACACGTAAATGTCGTTGCAATCCGTTTTGTCTGAGCTAACTAGTACCGCGAAGATTTTGTGTACATGTTTCGTTAGGTAGCATTTTGATTTATCTGTTTTTTTTTTCATGATATCAACTAACGTACGGAACGTAGTAGGTAATGCTGACTTACTGCTTGGTGGCAGAAATTGGTAAGGTGGCAGTACTTCCCTGAATGAACTCTTTCACAAGGTGCTCTACCGCTACTGCTAGTTATTCCAATATAAATAAGTACGTAAGTACAGCCAATGTGCTTTGGTTAGACTGTGCCCTAAGCGACTATTGGTTCTGAGTAGATAAGTATGAAGAAAGGTGTTCAAACAAACGTAACCTTTAACCTATTTACCGTAAAATTAATGTTCATATGACTTCCTTGTTGCGTCATCAGTGAATGACGTTTTAATGCAGATCATCGGAGGCAGTACTTCCCTAGAGGAACTCTTTCACAATGAGTTCTACTGTTACTATGGTTTCTGCCTGGAGCGGAACGAACGTCTTCTTCGCTCTTATTGCATAGGTAGTACGATTCCACATCGACAAGTGTAATGGATGACACGCTTACAAAAACAGTAAAGGTACTGTGGGTAGGCAGGATCTCTTGTTCAACTGCATCCCGTTTAGTTGTGAATTGTCGCGGTTTTCACGACATTTTATTATAAGGTGTAAAAGTCGACGTTATTGCGACGCTGTTTTATGACGCCGCCGATCTTTTAACGATTATTACCAAGTTTGTTTGTTAAAATGTAATTAAAACTTTGACTTTGTATCAAACGGTATATGTCGTAAAAACTGACTAGGTAACAGTAGACCTTCTATTGTTTTTCGATGATATGATGCGACGGAACGGAGAAGTCGTGCACCACGAAAGAGAAAGAGAGCGAGAGGGATTGAACGAGCGAGATACCGACAATATTTTGGGGCTTTTGGGGTGCGTTCCCACATAATTATAACATTTTTATTAAAAATAATCTCAGTACAGAGTACTAAAAAAACCGACCTCAAAAGTACGTGGAATTACGTCTATTTGCTAAGTTTCATTGAAATATCCCCTAGTTCGCCACTATACAGGACTTGATACTGGAGATAATAAAAATAGGTTCTCACTACGACACTACTCAAAGTATATAGCGGGGAAAAACGCCTTGAATTGATGAAATAGCAAAATCAACTAAATAATTGCTAAATTAAAGTTAGGCGCTATTTATAAAAATGAATCTTCATGCGTGAACAGCCACCCTTTGAGGTGGATGATTTCCTTCAAAATGAAATGGGACCACTATGGAAGTACCCCCTTTCCAACAAAAAAAGAATCATGAAAATCGGTTCACAAATACTGGAGTTATCGCGTAACGTACATACAAAAAAAAAGAACATACAGTCGAATTGAGAACCTCCTCCTTTTTTGAAGTCGGTTAAAAAACCGATCGCAAGTGTTTGCTTAAACATGGCTTATACCAAAAAAATAGTATCGCTTATGACTCGTGTCAGAAGTAGCCACAAAAGCATCCTAAAAATAGTTGCAGGAAAATTGATTGTCCAATTTTAAAGTACTGAGTTGGGCAAATCAAATCTGTTTTTACATATTAAATAAATGTTATGTTTATGTTGTGTCGTTGTGTTCTTTATACTAACCTATTCTAAGTGAAAATGTTACCAACAAATTATATGGGTCTATGCAATGATATTATACTATTATTTATGTTCACTGGGTCTATGCCTAAAATAAATAATTCTATTCTAAAAATATCCACAATTTCCAGGAGAGTTGCGTAACAACCTATTCTTCCAGAACGCTGCGAAAAAAGGTCCTGTAAAAATCATACGATCTCTGTCCTTCGCGGAATATGCAAAATTATTACCGCAGGGATACATAAAGAGTCCGGGAATGCAAGAGTATGGGTTTTATTGCGCTTGGATATTTTTGGAGAAAGAATATTTTTTTGGTCACTGACTTTTCATGTTACCTGACATCTGATATTATTATATGAAGTACATTGCCAGCATGTGTGCGGCATGCAACATCTGTGTGTTCCCGAAAGCTATAATCATCGAGTATATAACCAGTAATAGAGACGAAATAAGGGCCATCGATCCCTGGCAACTTATCAGGCAAATTGACCTTAAATCACTTTTAAATATAAACTTTCGTCTGCACTAAAATCACAAATTAGAAAGCTGAAATTGTACAGCGCCAACAACTGACCTGTGTGTACGTCTCCGTATATTCCAAAAATATTCTGTATTTATTGTAATAAAGATAATATCTCTAACAATGACGTGCTGTTCTATTTGGTGGTGTGGGAAAAACAGCAAAACATCTAATTACAAAACAAACGGAATCACATTTCATCGATAATTAAATATTAAATATGTAATTTTGCAATTTTCGTCCATTATAGCAAATCTCCAGTTAAACTGGACTATCTGAAGTGAAACAATTGACGACACCTATCAATTTTTAAGTTTGGGCTGGCCAGTCGGAGCGCAGTTGTCACCGTAATGATTTGGCAGAATAGTTTCATACAAATTAAATGACATTTGGTCTCTATTTGACAGATAGCTCAAATTTGCTCCGCAAAAGAAATGTATGTATATAAGCTTATAATATCTCAAGGAGGTAACTCGAGATCTGTTGTTCGATGTGTCATATTTACAGCCCTCTCTAGACCAGCTAAGGGCCCATTATCTTCCAAAGCGAAACGGAGAAGAGCTGTATTATATTTTCCAATTAACTTTACTCTGACAAACCGGTGGGGAGGTATCAAAATAACGATCACTTATGTACTAGCCTCCTTATCCATAACTAACTTAATTCAAATTTAAAGTTAAACTATTTATTTAACGCTATACATCCATATTGGTTAGTAATACAAACAAAAACTTACACACTAATGTTAGTAAATTACAAATATTCACTCTGTTTAGGGTACGTGTGAATTTTGGCCCAGTGTTCAAGGAATGAACCTTGGACCCTGCCAGCAATGATACTCAGGAGCCCAGGAGGAGGCCACTCTTTTTCGTATGATGGCAGTAAACCCATCTATTGAATGATTCTATTGATTGAATGAATTGAATGACGGTCCGAAATGTCACAGGGACCATTTTATCTATATACAGATTAGTAATTTACTTTATAATATTGTTGTATTATATTGTATGTATGTTAGTCCTTAAGGTATATGTTATATGAGTCACGTGGCCTGAACATCGAGTATGTAACAAGAAATAGATACGAAATAAGGGCCATCCATCCCTGGCAACTGATCAGGTTAATGGGTTTGAGTTGAAATCACAAATTAGAAAACTGAAATAGCACAGCGCCAACAACTGACCTGTGTGTTAGACATGAGCGCCGCGCCGGCGCGCCGCCGTCGCCGCGTTTTTCCTCGCGCCGCCGCCAACAAATGCAATCGGCGCGCAATTCATTCACGCACGCGTCCATACTGTTTATGTGAAAATGGCGACGCCAGAAAATGACTTTTCTAAGATAAAACTTATTTTTTTTATAAAATGTAAGTCGCATTTGACCTCCATCTCACCTGATGGAAAGAGACGATGAGGTCGACGATGGATGAATGTCTATTCACTTTCGCCATGAAAAGGCCCAAGTTATAACGTTCAGGGAACAAGTCTGCAGGCAGGGAATTCCACTCCATAGCCGTTCGACATATAAATGTGGAACCGTAACGCTTCGTGCGAATCTTTGGAATATCCACAACATAGAGGTGGAACCCAAGTCTACGCCTAGTCCCACGGTGATGGAAAAGGAATTCAATCGTGTAATTCCATCGCACAATCTCCGTGATATAATACTGTAAAATTCCGATAAGCTGGCAACTTTACGGCGGTGTTCAAGGCTCTGCAGCTTCGCCTCCACTAATTCCGAGTCACCTATAAGCTTCTTGGCACGGTTGTCAATTGAATCTAAGGTAGCCAGTTGGTATGTAGCAGAGCCATCCTAAAAGTGGCAGTAGTACTCCATGCACGACCGGATTTGTGCTTGGTACAGCTGAAGCAACTGTCCCGGTGTGCGTGTCCCTATCTACTGACCCGAGAGATAGGGTTTTCCGGAGAGACTACGGGCTCGACGGCAAGACCAGGGTACTGCAGGCGTTCGGGCCAAGCCCTACGCCAAGGATACGCCATTGCGGGCGTCTCTGGCGAACCCGGTCTTGGGTATGATCCCGCTGGGGTTTGTGGTTAGCTGCAGAGACGGACATGTTTGTCTGTCCCGGTTGCATGTGTCCGGGGCGTCTGCCTCGTGAGCAGCTAGCGCGCCTTAGTAGCGGTCTAGGTGAAGGCCTGAAGCGAGGAGACGCGCGGGGCACGTGAGTTGCCCTTTAAGTTGGAAGCTATGTCCGGACATAATCGCAGGACACTGCGACTGGCATCTCCGGCACTAGCCCGGAGAGCTAGTAGAGGATAAGCTAGATATCCTCCGGTCTCTCCAGCCGCTTAGGTTGTTGGGAACTGGAGAGACGTCGTTTTTCGGCGTCGGGAAGTGAGCGTGCCTTACAGCTCCGCCACCAATGAGGACATTTGGTAATGGACTCAGAGTCGACGGCTTAGCGGTGGCAACTGCTAGTTGTGCAATGCGCAACGGAAAGTGAGCGTGCCTACAGCTCCGGTAACTATCTGGAAAATAGGGAGGGTATTATACGGGGCGGCTCACCCGAGCCACTACCCTCTCGAAGAACCGGATGAAGTCAAGTGACAGAGATCTGTGAGAACCCTGTTCACTGCCTGATCTGGGGTCAGAACCTGAACTTGTAAGATTCCTGGACGCGCATAGGTTATGGTTTCCTTCTCGTATGCCCTAAGGGTAGCTAGGGAGGGTCACTATAATCAAAACTAACGTAGAAAGATATGGTGCTTGTCCCGGTGTGAAGTAACGCCTCACACTGGAAAGGATCCCAAGCTTCCTTGCTGCATATTTGGTCATGGATTCAATGTATCTGCCGAAGTACAAATTGGATGACAGGTCCATTCCAAGTAGCTGGAGACAATCAGCTATGTGTGTGGTAGGCCTGCGTTTGGTAGCGTTAAATTTGACAAGATTGGCATCGCCCCAATCGGAGACTGCTTTGTGTGTCAAATCCAAACGGCTAACCATAGACTCTCGACAAGACTGAATTTCCTCTCCACTAGCCCTTGCATTGGTTAAGTATCCATCTACAACTGTGTTGTCATCAGCATACGCAAAGGTACCTGAAATTAAAATATCTTTGATATGCAGCAGATAGAGAGTTGCGGACAGTACGGAACCCTGAGGAATTCCGGCTAATAAAATATCTATCGCCATATGTTTGGAAGAGTAGCCTTCTAAACCACTCGAATCGAACGTTCGCTCAAGAAATCCGAGATCCAATTGCAAAATGGGAAGCCCATAAAAAGGAAGCTTACTTAAAAGGCTTGCGTGCCAGACCCTGTCAAAGGCTTTAGAAATATCCAAAGACACTGCAAGCGCTTCACCTTGCTTTTCTATAACCTCGCTCCATATGTGACAGGCATACACAAGAAGATCCCCAGTTGATCGCCCTCTTCGGAATACGTACAGGCGGTCGTTGTCTTCAAGGTACGACAAGAGACGGTTGTTGAGTACACATTCCATAGTCTTGCAGAGTATGGAAGTGACTGAGATAGGTCTATAGTTGACAAAGTCAGGTCTGCTTCCCTTTTTCGGTACAGGTTGCACGTTTGCAAGCTTCCACGACCTGGGAACTACATCAGTCTCAAGTGAGAGGCGGTATAGGCGTAGGCGTGTGAGAACAGGAGACAACTCAGGCGCACAGTTACGTAGGACTAGTGCAGAAATTCCATCTGGCCCGCTAGCTTTATTCACATGTAGTTCTAAGTACCTCTTTTTGGGGTATGCGAATTGGCGCCATAGTGCAGCCAGTCTCAGTTAAGATTAGATCCAGACGCGAACTCTTTACAAAGAGTGAAGCAAAAAGATTTGCGTTGTCTTCTGCAGTGTGCCGTCCGACCTCAGCAGAGGTGACATAGATAGACGACAAAAGTTAGTGAGTTTATATTTAAAGATGTTTTATTTGAAAAAATTAATTTGTCAACTTCTGGCGTCGCCATTTTCACTACGCATACACAATATAGAAGCGTGCGCGTGCGTACGATCGGAGCGTCTGATCGAACTGATAAAAATTTGATTACTATAGAAAATACGTTATTTTATTTCCTTCCTTTGAAAAAGTATTTGTATATAGGTTTTTGTAAAAACAAACACCGATATACAAATTCGTTTTAGGGTCGCGCTCTCGCCGCTGAAACGCCGCCGACACTTTTTTGTCGGCGCGTCGACGCCGGTTGGTCTATTATCGGCGCTCATGTCTACTGTGTGTGCATCGCCGTATATTTCAAAAATATTCTTTATTTATTGTAATAAAGATAATATCTCTAACAACGGGGATTGTTCCATTCGGTGGTGTGGGAAAAAAAAGCAAAACATCTAATTACAAAACAAACCGAATCACATTTAATCGGTAATTAAATATTTAATTATGCAATTTTCGCCCATTATAGCGAAGCTCAAGTTAAACTTGTCGAGTTGAAGTCAAAACAATTGACGTTACCCATCATTTGTTTCGAATTCCCGTCATTGGCTGGCCAACCGGAGCGCATTTGTCACAGTAATGATTTGGCAGAATAGTTTTCAAACGAATGAAATGACTTTTCGTCTCAATTTCTGAATCGATGGGTCTGAAACAAATAACCAAATAAATAAATGCATTGACTCATTGACTTACAAATAAATGGACGACGGGTCTAATACAAAAACCACGAAAAAAATGTCCTAAGTCAACCTATTTAAACGTAGTGACATGTAAAGGAATATGAAGAAGCTAAAACGTTGAATTTAAATTGTAATGTCATTGCAGTACTGTCTAATTTTGCTTGCTTCGCTGTCAGTCGAACAAACGAAGACTAAAGCGTGAATGATGCTCTGTATACGATTTTAACGCCCTATAAGTTCGGACACTTTTTAGCGCGGACCCGACGTCCATATAATTGTAAGTCAATGCATTGACTCGACAAGAAGAAGTATAATAGTACATTAGGTTACTCGATGAAGTACGTAGCTAGTTATATATGAAGCAATAAAATATTCAGTCATATAGGTACATTCCATGTATCTATTTATATAGAGAGACAGCATGACGCGCCAATGTAGTTCACAGAGATTATAAATAAACAGTTATACCTTTCAACTGTTTCATCGTGTCTGAAATTATCCACTAGACTACCTCTGCTCTGGAGAGTTGTAAACAATATGACTAATATGTTGTAAATGCAAAGCCGTTGAATATCTTAAAAGTCGAAATTCGTGGGTTTTTGCGATCATGACACATTGGATACATTGACTTACAAATAAATGGACGACGGGTCTAATACAAAAACCACGAATTCGAAATTTAAATTGTAATGTCATCGCAGTATCGCGCTGTCAGTAGAACAAATGAAGACTAAAGCGGAGTTTGGCGCTCTGTATACGATTTTAGCGCCTTACAAGTGCGGACACTTTTTAGCGCGGACCCGACGTCCATATAATTGTAAGTCAATGATTGGATATGAAACTTTCTTTCGGATTAAGGAGTCGATTCAGAACTTTACGATAACTCAGTTGTCAACCGATTCGATTTGTTGTCGTACGATTTGTTTTCATTTTTATTCACAACACCCGAATCGAACGTCGAACTGTTGTATTCGAAACCGAACCGAAATTATGACACACCCGTACGATTATTCATTATCGAATGAAACTTACCGAACGTCCTATTCTTTACAAAGCAAGAATGTAATATGGAAATCTCTTGTTATTTTAAATGAAATCTGGATTAACTATATTCAATTTTATTAATTTATTTTAATGCAAGACAAATGCATTCCTATATGTTATGCCTTTAAAGACTTAACAATTATAAAAGGAATTTCATTTTTCTTATAATCTGTTTCACCGACTACGTCCTGGCCCCGATTCAGAACTCTTCGATATTATAACCGATTCGATCGATTTGATATCTTTCTCGAATCGAAGAACACTTTCCGAGCTATTCAAAGATATCGTTATGCAACAGCGTTTATTATATATAGATTATAAGAAAAATTAAAATCGAGTTCTTAGGTTTTCGCGATTGTTACACATAGGAAATGAAACTATTTTTCCGGATTTAAATCGCGTATATTTGTTTTTTCAAACAAACCGACGTTTCGGGCCCTTTACAGGTCCCATGGTCACGGTTGACTGAGGTGGTACAGTCTTCAACCAGTTATGTCTAATATTAATGCAAACCAGAAGTTCCCCCGCCAGATGATTACTGTCGCAGACACCATCACCACCATCTAATGAAAAATCCCAAACAGACATAAGACTGCAGTACTAATTAATATGTTGTAGTTTATTCTAATTTCTATTAATAATTAATAATA